AAAAAAAAAAAAAAAAACTAAAAAGGAGGAAGGAACCAAGTTGGAGCCGGTCCGTGTGGGGGCAGGAGGGAAAGGAAGGAAATGCCATCGTCCCATCACAGCCAGACAAATGCCCCAAAATTAATAAACTCAATAAATTCGTCAAAATAATAAAAATTGTATCGTAGGTTGCATAAAAGAAGAGAAGGACCCTTTCCCTTCCTCCCACCCAGTTCTTCCTCTCCTCCCTCTCTTATCCTCGCCTCCGTTCTCCGATCCATCTACCTCTTCAAGAGTACCCTTCTCCTCCTATCGATCTTCTTTTCCACTGGGTCATCGATTCGGATCCTTTCCAGATTTCCTTCAATTCGCCTCCATCTTGAGGGGTTTTCTTTTTGTTTGATTGTTTCTCCGATCTCCGGTGGGCTGTTCTCGTTTTTATTTTTATTTTTTGGGTTTGCGATGGGGAGAGGGAGAGGAGCCGTTGCCGCAGCCGGGAATACTAAACCAGCGGTGGTACCCAATGGATCTGTAAAAGAACCGAGATACAGAGGCGTCCGGAAGAGACCGTGGGGTAGATTCGCTGCCGAGATCAGGGATCCTTTGAAGAAGATGAGGGTTTGGTTGGGTACCTTCAATTCCGCCGAGGATGCGGCCCAGGCTTACGACACCGCGGCCCGCAGATTCCGCGGACCCAAGGCGAGAACCAATTTCCCTCTTAATTCCACACACGGTACGCCTTTCCCTTATGAAAACCCCGGCCATCCTTTCATGGATCGTCGGCTTTACCCTCTCGGCGAATTCCAAGATCACGAAGTGAATCCCCAGAGACCCACCAGCAGTAGCCTGAGTAGCACAGTGGAGTCGTTCAGTGGACCCAGACGGCCTCAGAAATTGGCGAATATTGCGGCGGTTTCGCGAATGTATCCTCGGAGTCCACCGATGGCGCCTGAGGATTGCCACAGCGACTGCGGTTCATCTTCATCGGTGGTTGATGATGGAGATATCGCCTCTTCTTCCTTGCAGAAGCCATTGCTGTTTGATCTCAATTTTCCGCCGTTGGATGAGGTTGATTTTGCGGCCAACGATCTCCAGTGCACCGCTCTCTGCCTCTGATGATGGTGACGATAGATATTCCTGATGATGAGTTCTTCATTTTTTTATATCTATAAAAAACAAAAATGTATTTCATTTGATTAGAGGAGGAAAAAAGAAATTAAGATTAAGATTAGATGAGATGATCTTTAATTAGAGTAGTATCAAATATGATCCTTTTATTTTTATCATATATATATTTATATATATATATATGTTGATTTGGGATTGTGATGTTATGAGATCTGCCTCCTCTATTTTTTTTGATAATTGTCATGTATATAAAAAAAATATATATCTAATTCAATGCTTCAAAATTTACTGCAAAAATTGGTCTCATTATTATTCTTTTAATTTTTCTTGTATTTTTACTTGCTTAGCCTATTTGTTCTTGCAAAATAAGAGATATTCATGTTATTCCTCAAAAAGACAGATATTCATATTAGGCTAATATTGAGATGATTTTTTTTATTAGAGCATCATAGTTGAGTTCACTATGTTGCTAATGTTGGCATAATAATGAATAATTTTAAAGAAAGAAAATAAAATTTGAAAGTTTCCTTTCAATTGTATTAACTAGATTATTTCTCTCTTTTCTATTTATCCTAAGATTATATAACTTTTAATTTGTATGGTTAATGCCCCATTCTTTGATTCTATATCAAAAATTAAAAAGCATTTTGCAATATAATATTTAAAACAGTAATTATTAAATTAAAAGAGCCATTTCATTTAATTGTTGATATTTTGGAATCTAATCTGTAAAATGCCAGACTTCATCAAAACAATGGAATGAGTAATTGATTGAATTGGAATGCTTGTTGAAATCGATCTTACCCAATTTCTTAGCATCTTCCTTGTGGAACTGTGATGAGTGTGACTTCTTTCTGTGTGTGGGGGAAGAATGATTTTGACTCAATTGAGATGCTTCAAAGAGGGTTCCCAAATAGGTTTTGTTTGAACATAGAATTTCATGTATTATCTCACATATATGCTATTTGTATAAGATTTGGTGTACAAAATAGATTTTGATATTTTGGCTAAGTGCGTGCACTTTCTCTCTCCTTTCCATTTCTTTGTTTAATGCATAGGTTGGAATCTAGCGTATACCAACAGAACACGTGCTTTTTGTTAAATCCTTTCCGTTCAGAGAAATAATGATGAAAAAAAAGGGGGGAGAGAAAGAAAGAAGAAGAAGAGGAAGAAGAAGTGTCTCGGGTGGATTTTCTTTATAAAAATGGACACCTTTTTTTATTTTTTTAGGGATGAAGAAGGACTTTTTGTTTTTTTTTTTTACATATTTGGTAATCTGTTATTTAAGAAAACATATTTGGTAATAGGTTATTTAAGAAGAGATATGGTTTGAAGGATGTGGAGTCTGCATTTAGGGTCTTCAAAGTATCTCTTATTTCCTTAGTGGGAGTCGTGTTTCTTGCGGTGATACTATTGTCGGTGATAGTTTCTTTTCCTTTGCGGGTGTAGCTTGTTGATGAGGCAATTTTGGAGGGTTTCTCTTCTCCCCTTTAATTTCTCATTTGCGAATGTGGCGATCGTTGCCTCTATGATGTTGGGGGTCGGACAACTAGGGTAAACATCGAGTTGCGGGTTACGCTATTTAGAGGCAGCTCAAAAGTAGTGTAGTGGACTGATGATGCTATGGCCACGGTGAGGGGTCGGTAGCTTGAAGGGATAGGAATGTTGATGGAAATGCCAAGGTTGTTTTGTTCTTGCTCATCAAAATGATGGTGGTGATGTGATAATTGGTGAAGGGGAAGTGGTGGTGGACAATGGCAAAGACTTCTCCGAGAGGAACACAACAGCTTTGGGTTATTGTATTTGATCCAATTTTTTTGAGAAACATTCGATTGCAAATGGGATTCTTTGAAGATTATATCCTAAAAGAACGAAGGATCGTGGAGTTTGAATGCAATTTTGACTCTAGTTGCCAAAATTGAATTTGTTGATTTGGGAAGTATGAGAGTAGACAAAATAGTTTTGGTGGGGCCTTACCTCACCAATTAGAAAATTAGGTTAAATGGTAGGTTTTGGGCTTATAATAGCTCAAGTTGTTTCTGGGCTTACTCAAGTTATTTATCTGAGATTTATCGACCTCATTAGTGGTAATTGGTCCAGGCTAGGTTTAGTAGGATTTGGAGGAATTCATTACAAGCTCCGCATTTCTCTTACTATACTTTTATTTTTTCTTTTTTTGAACAACTTGACATAGGATAGGATGGGATGGGATGGGATCGACCGTGCTTAAAGGGGAGAAAGTGCATATATTCAATAGGACTAATATCATTAGACTCAAAGGGTTAGGTGCTCTTATTATACTTCTATTGATATTTAATAAAAGTTTATTTCCCATAAAAAAATATATGCTTTTGTTCCTCAAATTCGTCCTTGCCTAATTCAATATTTAAATTTGAAAATTTTAAGTTAAACTCTAAACTTTTAACCAATTGAGTCATTTCTTTAAAGCAAAAATGAAACTTTGTTTCAATGATTTGTATTCCCCTAAGATATTTTTTT